TCGTCGTCGTCGTCGTCGTCGTCGTCATCAACATCTTAACTGGAAGCTGTTTGAACATCCATATTTTATGGAAAACTTGTATAATACAGTTGAATTTTTGCCTTGAGTTCCACTTTAATTCCTCTCTAGACAGGGCACGCCCATGAAGAAATGTAAAATGAATACATATTTCAGTAAGGGAAGGATATGCAGGAGCTGCTGCAGCTCTGCTCCACGCCATAAAACAAACATGCAGAACGAGAAGTTCACGGTCAGGATACCAGCCCCATAGCCTCCTCCATATTTTCTTAGAGGGTTTCTTTTTTTTAAACACATAAAACTTTATTTTTTACTATATATAAAATAGTTATTCCACAATTTCCTATTAAATACAAGATGCAACCCCCGACGCTGAAGTTCCTAAATAGCACATCCGTAGCCATTTGCTTTCAGACAGTTTCTCTTCTGACCCACCCAGCTGTGCGTAACTTTGAGATTCAGCTAATGTACTTTCAGCAAAGCAGCCGAGATTATTCTGGTTAGAGAACTATGAGATGAGTGATTTCCACTCACCTCATAGTTCTAGCCGACCTGTGACAGACTGTCACAGGTCGGTATCCCGTCATCGTCGGGATCCGCTCCGGCTGCGGCGTCTCAGTATACCGCGAGCTATACTGAGCTTAGGGTAACGGGAGGACGCTAGTTTGTGTCCTCCCGTTACCCTAAGGAGAACTATGGGGAAAAACACTGACCCCCATAGTTCTCCTTTAACATGTGAAAAGGCTCCACAAGCGCCACCTGCTGGCTGAAGTGTTAATGTGAGATAACGCAAACGCAAAACTCCTTATTAACCAATTAAAATTCTTGGCATAAAAAAACCAACAAAAAAACCCCACGCACCATTTAAAGATAAGGATATCAATTCGTCTTCTTTAAATCCCGAGTTCATAGAGCCGATAGTGGTTAAAATAAATAGTGGGAAGGGAAAACATTGGTACTGCCCCTAGCAACAAGATGCTTGCTTTCATCATCGTAGTTTCATTAGGATGAATGACGGCTCCACTGTAAATGAAATGTCACTTGGCTCCCGGCACAATATGACATTTTCTTACCTCTCACTTTCAACCTGAAGCCGTGTTTGGACACACTGAACTTTCAGTGTAATCAATCATGAGGACACATCACAAGATTTACACTTAAACATCTGACAAAGGCCAGAGGTTTTACAGAAGGTGTGTTTGAAGCACCAATGTCAATATTAGGATTCATTTCCAGCACTAACAAGTAGGATCTGTCAAATGGGGTGTCCCTGCGAGGCCCCAGAATAGTCTGAATATTGTGTAAAGGATGAACGTGGAAACTACTGGACAATGAAGGCAAAGAGATTCATGTTAGGATATTAGCTGCGTAGTCTCCAAACTGACAGATTGGCAACCACACTTCTAATATTCTAACACCCATTTCGATGCTATGGTTGTCCAGTATTGGCTCCTATTTCTGCCAGCACTCAGGCCCTAATAAAGGGGACGTTATAGGCCCCTGAAATGCATTGGATAATACTAGAGGATTAGGCATGGGGAAGTGGGCATAGATTAATTGAATCTTTTTTAAATCCAAGCAGTTTACCCTTCCTGGCATCAAAAATACAAATTTGCTGACCATTTAAATCAGGGGTGGGCAACCTCAGCATTTCAGCTGTTGTGAAACTACAAGTCCCACGAGGCATCACAAGACTTCCTGTGGGAGACCACGTCTTTGGCTGTCAGAGGCATATCGGGATCTGTAGTTTCAGCACAGCTGGCACGCAGAGATTGTGTATACTTGATTTAACGAGTTTCCGAAAAACTGTAAAACAAAAAGGGATGTCCAGTGCCTAGGCTTTAACATGTCCATACTCCAAACCCTGGAGAAAAAAAAAAAAGCAAACCCCCCACTATAATAAAGACTCATTCCTTTGTTATTAACCCAAAGAGCAGAGACATTCCTACTCAGAATTTGTTTAATTGATGTGCTGTGTACTATTTCATCACCTGGATACCATATGCACAGGAGCCATGGGGGGTTGAGGGGGGGGGGGGGGTTTTTTTTTAAGTTGAGA